GTTGAAACTTCGTTTCCCTCTAAAAAAAATTCAATGACTAAATGTGAATACGCTTTCCTCTTGTATTATGGTTTAGCAAATTATGTATTTTTGTTAAATTTTAGCAACATTTGTTGATGAAGAAATCTATAAAAAAAACCCCGAAAAAGGTATAAAAAAAGAAAAACAAAACCCATATTATATGTATAAGTTTTATGTTATAAAACTATGTAAAATTATATGTATAAAAATTATCCTAATATTATATATATGAATTTTGTGTTATAAAATTATGCAACACATAAATTGATATACATTAAACTATACACGTTTTTTTTTTATAAAAGAATACATACATATATTGATATATTATATATGTTGTTATACTCCATGTATTGACATATGTCATATTAGTATATTTATTATTAAAAAAGATATCGAAAATAAAAATCAAGTTATTTAGAATTTAGATATTTTTAATTTACCGGGAGTTCGGGACAATTGATTTATATTTGAAATTGCATTTTCTTAAAAAGTTTGAATAAATATTGATATTTATGATTATTTAACTAGACATATAAAGTTAAGTAAAACCGTTAACATGTTTTATGAAGTGTTACGCCCAAACCACCCATTCCATATTACCTTTATATATATATATATAATATATATATATATATATATATATATATATATATATATATATATATATATATATATATATATATATATATATATTAGCAGCGTACCCGCGCAAAGCGGCGGGGTGTGTAAATTTTTTCGGTGATATGTTTCATCTACAAAAATGTTATGTTACAAAAGAAAGTACATGTCGAAGACAAAATAATCAAACTATGGTGTTATTTGGGAGATGAAGTCATTTTTTATTCCTAGACGGTGGGCTTTATAGCAGACGAGGGAACAAAGAGGTATCTGCGATTGGAGGGATATTTAAATTAACATGCTAAATTTAAGGATATCGAAAAGGGTTCAAAATTTGAATGAATCCGGGATTTGAGGGAACCATATCAAATTGCTGAGAAATATAAGGAGATTTGATGATAAATATTTGAATTCAAAATGTGGTTAAAATTTAATATTATTTTATTAATGGCTAGTTGTACTATCAGCTTCATCATTTGGACGTCTTAAAAAAATATTATTATTATAATCAATCTATTTTTAGAAATAGTTAGATTTCTTTTATAAGATAGTAAATATATATATATATATATATATATATATATATATATATATATATATATATATATGAAAAAAAGTAGCGATATATGTAACAATTAAAACAGTGCTATAAGTGTGAATGATTCATATTTTTGTTAAACCAAAATCACATTGAAATTTTTGATTTTTGATTTTGAAAAATACTACATCATTGATTATTTATTTCAGTTTTGGTTTTTTGTTTTTTTTTAAATATATTTTTCGGGTTTTTTTTTTCCATAGATTTATTAATCAACAAATGTTGTTAGAATTTAATAATAATAAATAATTTGTTAAAACATAATACAAGAGAAAATTTATTTACATTTAGTCATTTGATATTTTTTTAGTGGGAAATGAATTTTCAATATTGTTCATATTTAGGGGGTGTTTGGATTAACTTTTTAGATTATTGCTTATAGCTTATTTGTGGTGTGAATAAATAATAAGCAATAAGCATGAGAAAAGATGCTTATTAAAATTAGCTTATTTAGCTTAATAAGCTGGATTTTATCCAAACACTAAAATTAACTTATTGTGGGAATAAACAATAAA